TACCCATTAGACCAAGTTACTCAAAATCCCATACAACCTAGACCTGAGCACTTCCATTCTCTGAGCAACTTGTTCCAGTGCCTCACCACCCTCACAGTAAAGAACTTCTTCCTAATACATAATCTAAACCTGAATTATTTCTGTTTAAAGCCATTGTCCCTTATCCCATTACTACAAACCTGAATGTAAAGTTTCTTTCCACTTTTCTTGTAGCCCCTTTGCACACTGGAAGGCTGCCCTAAGGTCTCCCTGGAACCATCTCTTCTCCAGAATGAACAGATGCAGGTCTTAGCCTGTCATCAAAAAACCAGGTGCTCCAGCCCTCTGGTCATCTTCATGGCTCTCCTCTGGACTTGCTCCAACAGGCCAACCCTTTCTTGTGCCAGGGGCCCCAGAGCTGAACACTGCAGATGGGATCTCATCAGAGCAGAGTAGAGGGGCAGAATACCCTCCATCRCCCTGCTGGMCACACTGCTTTGGRTGCAGCAGGACAGGATTGGCATTCTGGGCTGTGAGTGCACATTGCCAAGTTGTGTKGAGCTTCTCATCCACYAACACCCCAAGTCCTCAGGGCTGCTCTTATTCCATTCTCTGCCCAGCCTGGGGTTCTACTTGGTTTTGCCTTGATCCATGTGCAGGACCTTGCCCTTGGCTTTGTTGAACTTCATGAGGTTTTACACTGGCTCACCTCTCAAGTCTGTTAAGGTACCTCTGAATGGCATATTTCATTTCAGTTCTTCTCCCACTGGTATTCCTGCAATCCATCAACTTTGTGTTCAAATTGCTTTGGGTCACAGCATTAGTGCACTGTAATGTAGCTACATGAATTATATTAGTATTTTCTGTCATCTCAGGAGTTGAAATTTTAAAATTTCACCATAGTATTTATGTTTAATCATTCACAGATTGCGTAGTATTTCAATCTTGTTTCAGCTTCAGGAAGGATGAAAAAGGCCMTTATAATACAAATATCACTGCAAGTTATGACAAAGCAGCACTCTGGAGAATGGCTGTACGGATTGCATCAAATATGTTTTACTTTCTGCAGTGAGGTCAAAGGCATAGAAAAATTTAAATGGGAAGGCATCAACATATTATCCCATATCCTATTGAACTCAGTAACGAAATTTCCAGTCCTCTTTAGCAGCACCTGAAAGCAGACTTCTGAAAACTGCTTAAAATATTATAATGCTTTTTAGATATTGCAARCACCTAGGTTACTTAGAAAATTACCTTTGAAAATTCTGCCTTAAATGAATTCCAACAATCACACAGCAGGCCTATGCTAAAGTCTGATATCAAAGGAGTTGGTGAGCCTTAATGAAGCATCTACTTAAATTCAGGTCGTGCTTTAGCAGCAAGCACTCTGGTGGATTATTAGAAGCGGATGCTGTTTAATCTCTCTTACCTCCTGGGAAAACCCAGCATTTAAAAAAATCACAGAAGGGGGAGAAAAGTCTTCTCTCCCAAAAAGTCAGTTGTTCTGCTTCTCTGTGAGATGTGACATTTTAAGATGTTCTGCCCATCAAATCTGAACATATTCAGTTGAACAGGACAGTTTCTTGCAAACTCTGCAGGCTTTTGGCTTTTAGCTTTACAGGGATTTACATTTGTATTTTTAAGCTCTGTTAAGCTTCCTAAAGAAAGGATTTGTTTAATTATTTCACATTTTGATATTTCCAGATCTGAAACAGAGCTACCTGCTTTGATTTTAAATGAATTTTCAAAATCCATTTAAATTTCAAGGACTGCCTATCTGAGGGAGGGAGCCCAAAACGCCCCTTGTCTCTGATTAGAAACCAAAATATTCTGGTGTGACAGGTGCTACTAACACAACAGCTCTAGCCTAATGCTTGAGTCTTAAAAACCTTCTCAGTCTCCTTCAAATTTACTGAAAACTGGTTTAGTTTGGGGCTTTTTCGAAACCCCATATTTAGCAGTTCTGCAYGACCAGCGTCCTGATTTGAAGACAGCAGGATCAAAGACACCTCACCCAACAAACTGGCAAGCAAATCAGCAGATTCTGCATTTTGAGAAGTGAACTGAAACATGCTGTTGCCTTACAGGYTCCTCTTCTACAGGGTAACCATGCCATCTCCAATATTTGGAAATATGCCTCTAAGTCCCATTAACCATGGATTTTTGACTGATAGAAATTCAGGGTGGCTTTTTTTCAGAGGAAATCTTTGCACAGAATCTAGCTCTGTGAAAAAAAAAAAACCCCAAACCAAAACAAAACAAAAACAAACAAACAAACAAAAAAACCCCCAAAAAACAAAACAAAACAAACAAATGAAAAAGGGATGTAAATCCCTCTGCTATCAGCCAGAAAACAYATTCATTAGGTCAGGACATGTGCATACATCCACAAAGTCCAGAGTGTACCTTCTGCTGTTATACCTGTTCAGTAACACTGCTTTTGGAATTTTTCAACCGTAGAATTTCTGATGTGAGAAAAACACATGTCTTAGAGTACCTAATACAAGGTCCAGTTGTTAAAGACACCATAAAAGCTTGTCTAACAGTCTGGAATCTAACACTCTGAAAGACTTTGAAACTCAAGGGACAAAACACATAAAAATTATCTAAGTACTTTTTAATAAAAATTATCTAAGTACTTTTTATGTTTTAAGTTCTAAGGAATCAAAAACCAATTTTCATCCATTAGACTGTTATTCCTTATCACTCTGAATCTCAAATGAAAGGTTTCTACACAAAATATACAGGAATAAATTAAAGCCTATTATGCCCAAAAAATAATTACCTAAATTTTATTTGAATAAGTTAYTTTCTACCTCTCCAAAACTGGGTTGAAAGCCTCTTATGCCTTCCTATCAAGCAGAGAAAATGCCTTTTCGAAGCTATGAGACTACTGTGAGATGACCATTATGGACTGTCAATTTGTAGTGTTTCGTGCAGAACAAATACATGCAATTTCAAGAGTTGATTACAAACCATTTTTTGCTTCTATAGTTCTATAGAAAAAAAAACCCTCATTATATTTAACATCATATAGAAAGATGATGGATGCAGCACAGTAACTTTCAGAGATCTGACTGTGTGTGTTAAAATTAACAACAACCTGAGTTTTAATGAGATACGATGAAGAACTTTGAATTATGAAGCAAATACATTCTTTTTTGATTTCTGTCTGGAAGATACAAAGGCGTGTCTCCGTATCAGTGACATAGCAATTAGGCATGGAATATACATGATACCWTTCAGGGACACATGAGTTGTATTTTTCTTTCCATAAGCCTTCTCTGAATGTTAGAACCAAACTCCATTGCTAACGTCAAAGGAATGCTACTGTTTAATCCATTAAATACCATGCTGCTAAAATAGCCCCTTTTGAATTTTTAAAAAATATCCTTAGAACAGAAATTGACACTGCCTGTGCAGAAGCATAACTTTTTTTTGCATTTGCAAAAGCCAGTAAAATGTTGGCTCCTCCTAAAATGGAGTATGCTTGCACACTAAGGATGAAATATAACCACGGTTACAAAAATAGCACAAAACTTATTTTATGGATATAAATCACATTTTATTCTCATGTGGCACTTYCACTGAAGAAACAGGTGAATTTTATGTTTGAAGAACAATTCTTCACCTTATGGTAATGATGCACATACACCTACTTTAAATATCTGACATTTCTATCCCTCTGTTTAAAAAGACATCTAACTACAGAAACAATTTTAATGTTTTTATATAGAAAGAGAAGCATAAGAATGCCTCCCCTTTCTTTCCAAACTCTTATCACAACTTGCATTTATATTTTAAAATACTTCTGGTAACTAGCAAGAGAGTGGGGTTTTTTTCTGCTTGAAACTGCAACAGGCTTCAATGGGAACTGCAGATCAAAAGCAAGCACTTGGCATTGAAACCAATGTGTATATTTACAAACAAACAAACAAACAAACAAACAAATAAACAAACGTGTATCTTTATGGCTCAAACAAATGTGTATCTTTATGTATACAGGAAAAGATGCCAGCAGAGTGCATCAAACATAAACTCACAGATTTGCAGAAGTTCAAGGCTACATTGGAAGCAGACTCCTCATTGCCCTTTTCTTCATCCTGAAACACCCTTTAAAGAAGCACTTTTTTTTGTTTATTCTGTACACTCATGCTTCAGGATTTGTCATATGCTGTACAAACACCTAGGCAATTCTATTTTTAAAGTTCTGCACAAGATGTTTAACTAGGAGAAATCAATTTGTATTTGCACGCAGAAATGTAGATGACTTTAATTATGTATTTAGAACAGTATGTAGTGACATGAAAAGGAATGGACTCGCTATTAAGGAAAAAATTCTTTATTGTGAGGGCGGTGAGGCACTGGGACAGTGGACGGAGCATCCCTGGAAGTGTTCAAGGCCAGGTTGGATGGGGCTTAGAGTGCCCTGGTCTAATGAAGTGTCCCTGTCTTATCATGGTGGGAATGGAACTAGATGATCTTCAAGGTCCCTTCCAACCCAAACCATTCTATGATTTTAGATAAACCTCTATAATGCCCATTGTGACAGTATATAAGTTGGACAGCTGCCAGAAGCACCCAGGCAAAGAGAACCTAAAACAGTATTTTTCATAGTAGGTTTCTGATGCTGCCATTTGTGTTTCAGTGCAGATGAGACACACACACACACAAGCACACATTTACTTCACAAGCAGTTAAGAAGTAATCCTT